TTTGTGGTGGTGGACAAAGTGGCGCTGGGGCAGGTTTTCTCCGAGTACTTCGATTTCCCCTGCCAATCTTCATTCCACCAATTGCTCCACAATCACCCTGGCCTATCATCTGGGGCTGGTACAATAGGCCAGAAGTGGCCGCAGTACAAGTGACTTAAGTCCCACCTCACTAGCAATAAAAAAAATACGACTAGCAGTTTACCGCCAATTAGTTCGCCTTGGAGTCAAGCCCCTTTATGCTGATGACAAATATTTTTTTTCTCAACTGAATATTTGCGATCACATTTCTTATGTCTGTCTACAGCTGCTGCTGGACCTCGCCAGTGCAGTCATTCTCAGGTCCGAGTCCTGCGGAACTCATCACATTTTACTGTCTCAGATTTGAGATTCCCCAAACCTGGAGGACCGGGTCCCCGTATTTATATCACCTAGGAGCAGTGGCCCACTTATACCCTCAGGCACTGGGTTCCCTTTTGGTCGCCTCGTACGACTCGCAAGCCTAGTCTTTATATACTGCACATATATTTTTGTAGTATTTAAGAACCCTGTCAGTATTGAGACTATTTAACCTAGGGGTAAACTGTATATAAAATACGTACATTTCCCCTCTAATTTTTCAAAAATTGTTAGGCACGGCCCAAACGACATGACCAAAACATGATGCAACTTAACTAAAGGGTCCTAGGACTACAATCAAACACGGCTCAAAATGTAAACATTCGCGGTGTTTATTTTCATATTTCGAAACAATATTTGCTCAGTTTACAAGTAAATAATTCGAGCCAGGATAGCGCAGTCGGTATAATGACTGGATACCAGCTGGCCCACTGAGGGGTCAGACATCGTCCAGACCGCTTCAGGGGTCCACCCAGCCTCCTATCCAACGGGTATCGGGAGCTCTCTTCCCGGGGATAAAGCGGCAGGGGCGTGAAGCTGACCATTCGCCTCCAACTAGCGCCGCGGTCAAGCAAATACGGTTATATTCATCAACCACCCCCATACACTCTCATGGATCAGTGCTTAATTAATTTTTTTTTTTTTCATTTCATGCATCCTGTTGTGTTACAATATACAACCGTCACAACACAACTAATACCAAGATCAGTGCCTAGAGTCGTTGTTTACATTCCCTACAGAACGGACAATACTTTGTAAGATGGGGCACCGACTAAATACTATTAATATTACTACATCTACATCACGAGCCTCCTATACAATTTTTATATACACAAAATATAGAATATTCCAATTTGTCCGCGGGAACGCAACAAAATTTCAAAACCAACGACTGACTTGATGATGTAAAACATCAATCAATGAATTTTATTCTTGTTTTATACTATAACTTGTTTTATATAATCTAATTTATTGTATTTTTATGTCAAGTATTTTTTTATATAATTAATAATATTGTATTCAATTTTACTAGTACTGCGGTTCAGTGGTGTATATAATTTAACCGTGTATTTGCCTGATGATGACTACTGATAGCCGAAACTAGGCACTGATCTTGATATTAGCTGTGTTGTGACAGTTGTAATAAAGAGGTTGTATAAAAGTGCTTAATTAGTTTAGCACAGGGACCTTACCTCTTTTCTACCTTTACCAGTAAATTGTAATATGAACACACAACATTCTGTTCGTACTTATATGAAACTTCACTTTGGTTAACGTATGAATTTTTGGAGTGATATTAGGCCGGTAGGATATGATTAATACGAGGCACTTTTCCTTGATTTACGAGGAAAACAAGGCTTGGGGCCTGGCGTGTAACCAATAATAGTGTCTTAAATTTTACGTGGTAACAAATCTTCAAAAAAATATTACTACTTCTGCTGAGGAAATCCTTGTGTAACACATTTACTTGTGTATTAATAATTTGAGATGATGTTACAGGTTCACGTTATGTCTGACAACTTCCACATGGTGGAAGTCTGTATCAAGGACTCTGATCAGAAGCAACCGTGGCCTATTTTAAGAGACTATCCCGGACTCATGAAAATCACGAAAATCCTCAATCTGCATAGCTAGCCACAAGATCAAAATTTGAATCCGTGGGGCTCCCGAATGTTAACCTCCCAATTCCGACACTTGGTAAACTTACAGGGGAGGAGGGAAGGATAAGTCCCCGCGCTTAATTAAGCACTAAGCCATGAAGCCGCACGAGGTATTGCTTAGCGCATTCTTTACTTCGGCACTGGATGGAGGTGGGTTGTCAGTTTCATACCCCGCTCGCTTTATCCTCGGAGAATACTCTTGGTATGCACTGGATAGGCTGGGTGGGTTCCAGAGCCGGTGTGAACTCCATGAAGGGGTTGACAAATGTCTGCTTCTGCCTGCAATAGAGCCCCAATATCCCCGGCGTCCTTCCCGTAGCCTAGTCATCATACTGTGATATTCACACTCCTTATGTTACTAGGACAGGATCTTGAAATAGACCAAAACTGTCATTCCACGCCATACACTATTCATAATTAGCCTAATAAAATCCTTTGGGTCTATCAGCGGTGTCAGTTGCTTAAAAACGACAGATGTTTGAAAGATCACATGTCCCAATCATGACGGAGACACAGATGATCCTTAAAACATATGTCACTTTAACCAGCTGGAAGGATATAGGTGGGGAAACCAGATGGAAAGAGACCACAGGGAAGACCAAGGCGTAGATGGGTGGACAACGTTAAAATGGATCTTAGAACGGGATTGCATTGATATGGCTCAGTATAGCGACCGGTGAAGGGCTCTTGTGAACACGGTAATGAACCTTCGGGTTCCATAAAAGGCTGTGAAGTTCTTGAGCAGCTGCATAATTGGCGGCGTCTCAAGAAGGGCTCAGCTCCATGAGTGAGTGAGTCACAGCTGACAGCCAGAGAGGATTTCATGAACTTAGTCGCCGTGAGAGCTTCAGGTCTTACATAATCAGCCTATCGTTTCTCACTGACACTATAAAATCACTGCATGCGACGCAATTCCATTAAGTAACCTGACAAACAATCCCACAATTGAAATTGGAAAGCTAATGCAGATAATTTTACCTGCTGAAACTCGAGGAATGTCGCCTGCCATCTTGGATGGTAGTGGGGTATCCAGGGGGGTATCATGGGAAGCCCAGTTACGTGACACCTGAAAGAAAAAACTTTAGTGTAGTATCTGACAAGAAAATTCACTCGAATACATATGTTCTATGCCATGGCATATCCAGGTTTGTATCCATAATCCTGACATTAGACAAGACCGGAAACCGTGTAAGATTTGAACCACATATACACGGTGTCAAATCCCAGAAGACTGCTTTCTTCAAGACCGGAAACGTTTTAATTTTTTCCCTGGTCACTAACAGTTTATGGTAATGAAGCATAAAGTGTAAAATAGACATGACTTAAAAAAATGTTGTATGTTACAGGCCTACAGTAACAGACTGTAGTTCCGAGATCTCTAAGATCCTAATCAGTATTATCCTAACATTACCGCCATCTTTATAAAATGCGTACTGATAACCGGGGGGGGGGGCAGGCGGTAGCGTAGCTGGTTGAGGCACCGTGTTATAAGCCGGAAGCGAGCGGGTTCGAATCCCAATTAGGTCACTGGATTTTTCAGTTTACCTAATCCTTCCAGCCGCCCTATGGCCCTGGGATCGACTCAGCCTCTAACAGAAATGAGTACCAGGAATATTCCTGGGAATAAAGGGCGGCCAGCGCGTAAGGCTGACAACCTCACCGCCATCTGTGAGCCGACTGTCTAGAAAATGTGGGAGCCTCGACGTCTCGCAACCCTACTAATAACACGTGACCACATTACGGCGATTCCCGTACGTTTTCGACTACTGCTAACGTAACATATGGCCGTGCCACAGCTCAGGCGGTTTTTTTTAATTCGCTTAGTGGGGGGAAGAGTCCAACTGGGTCCACTCGACACGGCGGCCACTGATTGGCCTATTATAGCCTGCCCTTGGTGATTATGATGATGGAGAATTTGGTGGAATGAAGACTGGCAGGGGAAACAGAAGTACTCGGAGAAAACCCGCCCAAGCGTCACTTTGTCCACCACAAATTCCACTTGACCAGACCCGGGATCGAAATCGGGCAACCGCGGTGGGAAGCCAGCGACTAACCGCTTGAGCTATGGCACGGCCCAGCTCAGGCGGTTAGTCGTTGGCTAGCCACTACGGCAGTCCGGGTTCAAGCCCGGGTCAGGTCATGTGGGATTTGTGATGGACAAAGTGGCGCTGGGGCAGGTTTTCTCCGAGTACTTCAGTATCCCCTGCCAATCTTCATTCCACCAACTGCTCCACAATCACCGTCATCTGTCATCTGGGGCTGGTACAATAGGCCAGAAGTGGCCGCAGTACCAAGTGGACTCAACTCACCCCACTAAGAATAATAATAAAAAACTTGATACATTCCAATAGGCATTCTACGAATGTGGTATGAGCGGTCAATACATGCTACAGACACAACAATTCATCACAATGCTCTTGCATGTGCACCCCAGTCAACGTAATTGCCAATAAGGCCGAAACTCTTCTCCAACCGATGGGGCAGATGTGCACAGAAGGCGTAATGACGCCGTGATACATACGAAGACTGGGTTTGTACATTCGAACTGGCGTCCCCCAAATGGCTCCTTTACGAGGGGAGGAGAGAGTCACAGGGAACAGCTCAAGGGAACAATGATGCGCCACCATCTCCCAAACGCAGGCGTGCAGCAAGCTTTGCATATCATGCTGACGATGGAATACTGCCTTCTCGAATATTTATGCTTCCTTGCAACGCAGAGTAGTTTGCACCTCAGTGCGTACCAATATCGTCACGGCAGTACGATGTGGTATGGCGTGCTTAAGCACAAGGAACTGACAGACGAACATGCGTCGATCATATTCCGAGAGCCCAGATTACACTGCTCAAAGTTCTCCGTGGCGACATGTGGCGCTTGCAGGAGGATCTCTGCAGGAAAAGTTCCAACGCGAATAATTAAAGAGGTTCATACAACAGTGTGGTGCGGCACCCCTTGGGAAGATGGCGCTTGGATGTGGTGGCCCTTTGAGAAAATCATTAAGCCTACTGCGCGACAACGCTGAAATATGTAAAAGGTAAAGTTGTCCCTGTGCTTAACTAATCAAACACTACGCCATGAAGGCGCATGGGGAGTGGATGTAGAGATCCACATTTTCTTGACCTCAGCATTAGCTGGAGGTTAGTGGTCGGCTTCACGCCCCTGCCGCTTTAACCCCGGGGGAGAGGCCCCGGTACCCATTGAAGAGGAGGTTGGGTGGACCCCAGAGCAGGTCTGGATGACGTGGAGAAGAGAAAATTCTTGACCCTACCAGGACTTGAACTCTGACCACTGGGTCGTCCAGCCCATAGTCAGTCGCTATACCGACGGCGCTACGCTGCAGTATGTGTGTGTAATAATTACAACGCGAGGATCCAAGCATAGTTCAATATACCTGCAGTATTCTCGCAACGTCTAAAACAAGACGTAAGAATATGTAAGGGTAGGTGTCATCAGCCATTGATGACCCAAGTCATACCTTGAAACTAACTTTCATTCCTGTTGACAGGTATCAAATTATATGGAACCATATATATATAACTGACATTCGAAAGACAGAAAAGCAGTTTCAAGTAGAGTTCTAAACTCAACTCTCACAATGCACAATGCGCTCTGTTTTCAGTAAGCCATAACTATGGCCTTTAATTTAATTAAAACGTTATTTATCAGAAGCTGTACTCGACCCACAACTTAAAGCAAAAACAAGGCATTCGATACAATGTATTTTTATTCATGAAATCTATATATTCTCCCTCTGAAGCAGGCGACTCTTACACAAACGAGCGCCCCTACCAGAGAATTCGTCCACAACTGCACGTCTTCGAAACCCTAGAATTACCCGACACACGTGGAGTTTCAGAGGAAGGGAAGTATTAACCATCAACAGAGAAAAAATGAGGATTTGCCTGAATGAACGAGAAAGGTTTCATAGTGGTCTTCTATTGCAGATATCTTTGGCGCAAGATCACGTGTCCATACTGCTGCTTCCCCGAGTTCCTTCGAAAGTCGGATTGACGTGGAGTGCATAAATATGGTTTCCTCAGATATGTCATCGGTGTTGCAACCTTTATAGCATTAGCATAATGTAACACACAGTTCCCTGCTATCGGAATGCGGGACAGCGAAACCTCCTATTAATTTGAAACAGCGTTTCCCAAAGTGCGAGTCCCCCCCCCCAGGGCTCTATGAAGTTTCTTCCGGAAGCCGCCGAAAAATGGGCCTCTAACATAGATAGCGAATCAATTTCAATTCTAAAGACCACGTTATATTATAAACATGCAACGTAACTAAAAAGACTGGCTGCGCCATAGCTCAAGCGGTTAGTCGCTGGCTTCCCACAGCGGCGACCCGGGTTCGATCAAGTGGGATTTGTGGTGGTGGAC